TCCTAATCCGATATTAACTGGTGTCCTTATACGAAAGAAGAGACACCGAGACAGACACACACGGGGACAAGGCCATGTGACACCAGAGGCAGAGATTGAACGAATGTCCGGGATTGCCAGCAACCTCCAAAGCTAGGAAGAGGCAGGAGCCATGCTCCCTTAGAGCCTTCAGAGGGAGCCTGGTCCTGCCGACACCTTGATCTTGGACTTCTAGCCTCCAGAGTGGTGAGAGAATAAATTTCTGTTGTTTTAAGCCACCCGATTGGCTGTACCTTGTTAGGACAGTGCTCGGGAACTAATTAATTACTTGGAGCTTAGGGCAGTTCGGTCCTCCCAAATACCTGTTCAGACAGCATCTGGCGGGCGCACATGGAGACCGCCCCCTCAGCCCCCACAGCAGCCCCTGGGCCTGTGAGCCTGCATTTCCTCAAAGGGATTCAGAGAGAGGCTCGGCCAGCAGAAGACCTTCTCCAGGGAGCCCTGGTCTCCCAACTCCACCCTCAACCCCAGCCTTGCGCTCTGAGGCATGGCTGACCCACTGCACAGGCTGACTGGGAGGGGTGGTCTTCCCATTGTCTCCCAGGCTGATCCCCACTGGAACAGTCCCGCAGAACCATCGCTTCCTGCACTGGATTGAATAGTGTTCCCCCCCCCCACACACACACATTTTCATGTCCACCTGGAACTTGTGAACGTGACCTTATTTGGACACAAGCCCTTTGCAGATGGAAGCAAGTTAAGATGAGGTCATGCTGGATTAAGGTGGCCCCTAAGTCCAATAGGATTGGTGTCCTTAAAAGTAGAGGGATATTGGGCACAGAGACCCAGACACACAGGGAAGAGGCCACGTGAGGAGGGAGGCAGAGATTGGAGGGATGCTTCTACCAGCCAAGACACGCCAAGGGTTGCTAGCAATCCCCCAAAGCCAGGAAGAGGCAAGGAAGGAATCTTTCTTAGAGCCTCCCGAGAGAGCACAGACCTCTGACATTTGATCTTGGCCTCCAGAGCTGTGAGAGAATGCATTTCTGTTGTTTTAAGCCCAGGTTATGGTAATTCCTTGTGGCAGCCCAGGAATATGATACACCTCCCATCAAAGGGATCGGGCCAGAGCCCCTGCACTGTGGGACCCGGGGCAAGTCAACTTCTCCTCCCAGAGCCCCAGTCTCCTTCTCTGCAGATCGGAGACATGTATTCGCCACCCCCAAGTCTGGACTTGAAGCTTCACTGTGAAGGGCCCAGCTCGGGGCCCCGGGGCTCAAAGGACTGACCGTATTGTCATCACAAGAGGTGACAGGAACTATCATTTGCTCACTCAGCAAGTGTGTGTCTGTCCCGTGTGCCGGGCTGGCATCCGGCAGGGTCAAGACAGACTAAGCCTTTATCTTCATGGAGCTCCTAGTCTAAGGGTAGGACAGCAGGGAGTGACAGACCTCTGTGCCTGAGCTGCCCCCTCGTTTCCACTCCGTGGCTTGAGACATGCCACTGCCCGAAGGCCCCGAGTAGTGGGCAGTCGTGAGCACCTGCTGTATGCAGGGCCCTGGGAGGGGGCGGGACCCAGAAGCGGGCATTGATCCAAAGCCACTTCATTAAGCACTGTGTTCATTTGTGAGGCTGTGCAACAAAGATCGCAAACTAAGTGGCTCACAGAACAGAAATTCGTTGTCTCCCAGCCTGGAGGCCAGAAGTCCAAGATCGAGGTATTGGCACAGTTGGTTCTTTCTGGGGGCTGGGAGGAAGACCCTGTTCTATGTCTCTTTCCTACTCTCCGGGGGTTAGCTGGCTATCTTTGGCTCTCCCTGGCCAGTGGACACATCACCCTGATCTCTGCCTTCATCTCTCCACGGAACTCCCCCTGTGTGTGTCTGTCTCCGCATTTCCCCTTTTTAGGAGGACATCAGGCAGACCCCGACTCCACTACTCCACTATGACCTCATCTTAACTAATTATAACCCTAATTCCAAGTAAGTTCCCATCCAGAGACACTGGAGGTTAGGACGGCCACCTATGAATTTGGGGCTGGGCATTCGGAGTGGGATGTTGAATATCCGACCGTTTTCTTTTCGAGCCGAGAACTTTTGTAGAACATCCAGCTCTGTTGGACAGAAGCCAGATGTGTCTCCTTCATGTCCCTGTCCCCAGTGTCTGGCACAGTAGTTGGGAGTTACATTTCACCAGGGCCGAGGTCTCTGCAAATTTGGGTTAAAAATGCTGTTGTGAGAAGTAAATGCAACAGGGGTGCTTGGGTGGCGCAGTCAGTTGAGCGACCAACTCTTGGTTTCGGCTCAGGTTGTGCTCTCAGGGTCCCAGGATCGAGCCCCACGTGGGGCTCCGCGCTCAGCACGGAGTCGGTTTGTCCCTCTCCTTCTGCTCCTCCTCCTCTCTCTCTCTCTTTCTCTCTCTGGAATAAATAAATAAAATATTAAGAAAAAAAGAAGAAGTAAATGGAATAGGCCGCGAAGCGCCGGGCACAGGGCCTGGCCCACCGGGATGCCCTCCATGGCGTCAGCCGGACCTGAGGGCCGTTACCGTGAGGCTGCAGGGGTGTGAGAGGGAGGACGGCCGCCGGCCCCCACTTCCAATTCCCCTCAGCCCTGGGATTAAAAGAGAGGCCTCCGGGGTCCAGGGCACAACTCCTGCAATTTATATTCCCTTTCATCTTTTCCTGTCTCCAACAACCGAACTTTATCATCCCCCTTCTGCATCTGACAAGACGGCAGCTTGGGGAGGTGACGTGCCTTGCCGGGTCACTAACAGGGGGAGGCAGGGGACTCCAGCCAAGTCCTCTAACTCTCCAGCCCCTGGCTGGATCCTGGTCACCTCAGTGTGGTGGGCCCACTGAGGCCTGTCCCTCCCGGTCCTGCTGGCTCAAGCCTGCTGTGCGCCTTGGCCCCCAAGCCTCGCTGACCAGGCCTCCAGGGAGCTTCTCTGTCCCTAAAGCCCAAGGGGGCCCAGGGTTAAGGTGACATGCAGACAGCCTGGGGCATTGAAGCGTTCGTGCTGTCTGTGTGTGCACGCGTCCCTCTGCCACGGGGAAAAGGGCGTCCAGGGCACGTGGTTGTTCACTGACAGAGGGAAGCCTGACCGGGTGGGTGGCTGTCCCCCCGCCCACGGCTCCCTGAGCTCCTGGGGAGTTGGCACCATCGCCCCTTGCACCCTTGCTTTCAAACACCCCCCTCAGAACTTTGCTGCCCCCCGCCCCAGTGTCAGCCCCTCCCCCCAAGGCTGTGGCCGATCAATGGCCCGGTGGCCGCCGAGTACAGAGGACCTCGATTGCGCAAGATCTTCTGCTTTGCAGACTGCCCGGCTACCAGCCTGCCCGGTCCGGGGCCTGGGCCACTTTGCCTCCTGAGGGACAGGATGCGGTACAGAGACAGGGCTCGGGTCTCTTCGCCCCCTGCCCCGACCAAATCCCTTCCGCCTTGGAAAGCTTGCAGGGGGGTGGTGGGGCCCGGGAGGAGGGGAGGATGGAGGGAGGAGGGATATTGCCTGGGGCGAGGGCGGGGGGGCAAGGCTGGGGGCCTCAGTCCCAGGGTCCCCTCAGGGCAGGCCTGAGGAACAGGGAGAAGTGACGGAAGGTGTCCCCCACCCAGGTTCCCGGGCCAGCCCCTCTGCAGCTAGTGCGCCGTACAGAGATTGTGCCCAGACCCCCGTGCTCGGACACCTGCTTCTGACGGACACACCCCAGGAGAGGCTCTCTCTCTCTCTCTCTCTCTCTCACACACACACACACACACACACTGGCACATGACGCATGCACACACGCCTGCAGCAGGCCCCGTGAGAGCACTTGAAGGCGCACCCCTCACCCTTGCAGCTGTCCTCACCCCTGCCTGCTCCTCAGGGCGCACGGCTACCTGGTCCAGACACGCTGGACACCCCCACTCCACACTCACACCTCCTCCTCTACACTCACACACCTCATCCTCCGTACTCACACACCTCCCCTTCCACGCTCACATCCTTCACACACACCTTATACCCCTTTACGCTCCACGCACACATCTCATGCTCCACACACATCATCCTACTTCACACTCACACACACCCTGGGGCCCACATCACGCAGCACTCAGGGTTCCAGGTGGGCAACCCACTCGTGGGCTACACCCCAGGAAACCCTGGCTTACAACACCTGCTTCCGAGCCACTGGGGTCGCCCCTCCACGTCCACTGCAGCTCCGCTCACTGGCCCTGGAATGTGAGCCGCACTTGTGAGCTCAGTGGTCTGGTAGCCACGTTACAAAATATAAAGAGAAGCAGGTGTTTGACTTTTAGTGATGTTTTAATTGAACCCAATACAGCCCCCATGCTATCCTTTCAACATGTCAGCAACATGAAAAATTCTTGTTGAGCTAGCTTACATTCTTTGTTTGCGCTAAGTCTTTGAGACCTGGTGTCTATCTTACCCAGGAAGCACATCTCGGGTCAGACTGGCGGCATCCCAGGGGCCCAAAAGCCACATGTGGCCAGTGGCCACCAAAATGGGGAGCACAGCTCTAGAGAATCATATCGTAATTCAAATAATTTCCAGCGGAGCAGAAAATAGCACTGAACCCCACCCCCACCGCACTTTCTCCTTTTCTGTCCCTGGACCACGTGGGCCTCCTGTTCTCTCTCTGGCCACCGGCCCCTCGGGCCTCACCCGTCTCGGTAAGGAGACCCTCATGAGCCCCTGCCCCACGGCACAGCCCCCCCGGTCCTCAGCCCCCCCCCCCCACCTCATGCTCTAGGGGACCAGGGGCTGTAACCAGGCAGGAACGTCACCAGGCAACAGGCCTCAGGGGAGAGCTCCGATCTCCCGCACCTGCCCGCCAGCCTCCGGGGTGCCCACGGGGCGGGGTGGGGTGGGGCGGGCACTGCCTGGCTCCTGCCTCGGCCTGTTTACCTGCGCTCAGTCACGGTGCCGACCTGAACCCGGCAGAAGGCCCATGGAGCCTGGGGCCACAGGCCACAGGGGACAAGGGCCAGACACCCTGGCCATGGCTCTGGGCCATTGATCCAGCCCAGGCTGGCTGGGTGGGGGTAGGGAGACCTTGGCCTGGACAAACAGAGGCTCTGGGGCCTGCGAGCCGGCCCGGCACCCACCTGCCACTCCCAAAGGTAAGCGGGGGCCTCCAGAACAGGGGACCGGGATCCAAGAATGACCCAGTGACAGTGTCCATTTGGAGAGCCAGGCCTGGCTCCCTGGGGCTGGAGCCATCTGCCCAGGTCTGCAGGGCCTCATCGGCCAGAGAGTGACTGGGTAAGCGGAAGGCGAGGGGTCCACAGAGCCAGGCTTGAGGCAGGACAGGGTGTCGTGAGGCTAGGTGTGTGGACCAGGCACGGGGGCGGTGGAAGGGCCGCGGGCTTTGGGTGCTGGGAGGCCTGGGTCCAGGTGGGGTTGGTGGACTCTGGAGCAGGGACTGGGCGGAGGAGAGGCGCAGTTTGCCAGGCTGAGCACCCCACCCTCACTCTGCAAGATTGGACGTGCCCCTCTCCGTACCCTCAGACCTCCCTGGGCTTCCTGGTGTGGGAGCCAGGCCCAGAGCCTGACGCTGGGCTAAACAGGGGATCCTTAGCTCCCAGGCTCAGAGTTGAATGCAGCTGGCTCTGCATATGCATGCGTGCGTACGTGTGCGTGTGTGTGTGTGAGTGCGCGTGTGTGTGTGAGTGCGTGTGCACACACAGTGCACGTGCACACACGCGGGAAGTGTGAGCAACGCATCCATGAGTTTGTGGGTCACACAGATGTGTGGGTACCTCAGTGCGTCTCCATCTGTGCACACCTGTGTATGCGTTTGTAGCGTGTTTGTGTTTGCGGAAGGGATTTCCACGCACACAGCCCCACGCTTGGGCACCCGCAAACCAGCTTGTTGCAGGGATCTACTCTAGGCCCCGGGAGCCTCACTGGAAGCTGCCTCGCATGGCCCTAGATCAGATTTCTGGTTCTGTTCCTCCCCGCTCTGCCCTGCCTCAGATGAGTGACCCCGGCAAGCCATTTTATTTCTCAGCGCCTCATTTCCCCCAGCTATTAACTAGAGATAAGGAAGCAAACGTCGCCGGCTACTGGAGGCTGAAGGAGAATGTGGTTGGCGACATTGCCCAGCAAAGGGCCGGCAGGCAGGAGGAGGTCCAGGCCTGCCCCCATGAGCTCAGCTTCCAGTGGGCAGGCTGAGGACACTCCAGTGGTCAGAGAGCAGGAAGAGCAGGTGCCAGGGAGGGGGCCAGGTGCTCGGGTCAGAGAAGAAGCTTCAGCACCCCACCCCCCGTGTCACTTGGGGCACGTCCAGTGTCTCCTTCGAGGGGCTCACCACCAGGGGGGCAGAGAATGCCCCAAGGTGAAGCACGCGGTGATGAGGGCGGCCCAGGACGCTTCAGGAGCGGCAGCGGCTGGGCACTATGGGAGAACTGCCAGGAAGAGGTGGGAGCTGGGCTGAGGTGTGCAGGGGTCAGCTGGGAGCTGGCCAAGTCAGAGGAGGGCAGCCCAGGCAGAAGGAAGAGCGCGTGGGAAAGCCAGGTGACGCGTAAGAAGTTTCAGGGTGCAAGAAACAATCCACACGATGCTCTTCGTGCAGAGCGAGCTAAGAGCCCTTGATCTGTAGCAGGTTTCCCCCACCTTCGTTATTGATAGAAGGGATAGCCGACACGTCCAGTGTCACTGGGCTGCCAAAAGGGGGAAAGAGGGAGTGGGGAGAAGGAAGGCAGGAAAAGTTGGCCAGGCCACGCGCCCCACAGCCACCCTCCAGCTGTGGGGAAGGAGCTGGGATCCCAGCACTCGGCGGCTCGACAACAGTGATGGAGGCCGAGCTCTGCACGGGAGCAGGCCCCCAGTGGGGAGCAGCATACAGCCAGAGAGGAGACAGACAGAGGACACGGAAGCCTGCCATGCAATTGAGGTCGCGAGAAGCGCTACGAAGAAATTGGAGCAAAGACGTGAAGGAGGGAAAGGAGCAGGCCATGGGGCAAACTGAAGGAAAAGCGTTTCTGGCCGAGGGAACAGCAAGCACAAAGGCCCGGAGGTGGCACGTACTTGATCTCTGGAAGGTCTGGCAAGGAGCTGGGAGTGGCTGCGGCGGCGGCGGGGGGTGGGAGAGGACAGAGAGACCAGGGCCATGTCACCCAGGCCCTTGTGGGCTGGGATCTGGGCTTTGGGCTCTGTTCTGGGTGGGTGAGAGCCGTGTGAGGCCCATGAGCAGGGCACACAGTGAAAAGTCCACTCGGGTGGTCGGGTGGGGAGTCGCTAGGGAGGGTGACCAGACAGCTGGCAATAGCAACAGTCAAGGTGACAGATACCGACCTGGATGATGGTGGGAGCCATAGAGGTGCCAGGAAGGGGTTGGGTTCTGGGGGCAGTTGGAAGGTAGAGCCACAGACCTTTCTGATGGGCTGGACCCTCGAAACAACGGGGGTGGGGGAGGGAGAGGTCAGCTGGGAGCTGGCCAAGTCAGGGGAGGGCAGTATAATAGTAAAAGACGAGAGTGGGGGGTCATCTTCACAGCTGTCAATTGTCACAATTGTCCATCTCCTGCTGGGCTATCAGCCCCAAGAGGAAGGGAGTGAGGTCTCCTATCCCCCAGTGTGCCCCCCGCATGCCCAGAGCAGAGCCTGCACCAAGCAGGTGCCCGACTAAAATGGAATGTTTCAGTAACCAAAACCAGGTCTCCATGCTCGGCCAAGCATGCAAGCCCCAGCTCCTAGCCTCCCAAGTCCCGCTTCCTGGAGGCGGCAACGTGTAGGAGAGAGCACTGCACCAGGAGTCTGGAGACCCGGGGACCCTAGCCATTCATTCTTTCCTTCATGTAGCAGGGCCTGTCCTGGGTTCTATGGGAAAGCAGGGGTGAATAAGACACAGACCTGTCTTTCCTGTGGAGGAGAGAAACAGCCGAAAGCCAAGCATACTGAGGGCGCTCAGTTGGTTGAGCATCCGACTCTTGGTTTCGGTGATCTCAGGGTCATGAGATTGAGCCCCATGTCGGGCTCCACACTTGGCAGGGCGTCTGCTTGAGATTCTCTTTCTCTGCCCCCACCCCGTGTGTGCTCTCTTTCTTAAACAAATAAATAAATAAATCTTTAAAGAGCACACACACACACACACACACAGAAGTCAGGCATACTGTTGATCTGACCAAGGGCTGCCCAGGAGAGGAGGTGGCTTACTACCCAGGGCCTGGGGACCCATCCCTGGGCCGGTTGCCTTGCATGGGGCCTTTGGGGAACCCCTGCAGTCCTCAGGCAGAGGGTGTGGCTGCACAAAGATGCGGTTTTGTAGGCCCGCAGGGTGATGTGCGTGATGGCACTTAGCCGTCAGAGGTGGTTGTTAGCCATGAGGGGACTCGGAGCAGGTGGGTGGCTGGCGGTGGGCAGGGAGTGAGGGCTTGTTGGAGGAGGAGATGAGAGACAGGGAGCCCAGGGAGGAGTCTGCCCCAGGAGTCCAGGTGGGAGGTGATGGGGAGCCCAAGTGAACTGCTCCCCCACCCCACCTTGGGCTGTATTTAATCCTGGGTTTTTACACAGTGGCTTTTCTAAAAATGGGCTCCTCCGAGATGCTCACAGGCCTCCCGGACGAGTGTGAGGGGCGCTTATGAAGGAGATGAATCCATGGAGTGAAGGCCTGGTCTGGGGGTGAGGAGAAGGGAAGGGAGGCCTACTGAACATCCTACCTTGGACTGCTCTCCTTGGCGCCTCCTCTGGTAGACCTCTGACCTTCTCCGAGCCTCATTTTCCCCACCAGTACCCTGACGAAGTGGGAGGCAGTGCAGTGTGGGGGTCAGGGCGCTCCTCTGGAGACACAGTGCTTGGCTTTGCCACCTGGCTCTGCTGCTAACCAACTGGGAGACCTTGGCCAAGCTGCTCAGCCTCTCTGTGCCTCAACTTCCTCATCTGTAGAATGGGGATAATAAAGGAACCTACTTCCACAAGGTCCCTGTAGGTGTACATGAGACAGTGTGTAGAAAACAGTTGAAGCACATGCCCACTCTTGTCACCTCTGGGCCCCCAAGTCCCCAAGGCTCTGTGAGTCATCCATCCTGAAATAGCTCCTTAGTGATCCAGACTCAAGAGCAAACCAGCGGTGTGGCCAACTCTGGCAGAAGGGGTGGACTTGGGCTGAGAGAGGGCAAGGAGCCGGCCTGTCACCTGGGTGCTCCCTGATCTAGCCCTGCTCAGCTTATCAGCATAGCCCATTTCTCACCAGGGATGCTGTGGACACTGGGCAGCGGGTGGGGCTGACCCCACCATTGCAGGATATGTGACCCCATGAAAGGCAGCAGGGCCTGGCCCATGTGTACTGATGTCCTCTGGTTAAGGGGTGGAAGGGGTCTCAGCACAGCTGAGAATTGCAAGCAGTCCCTCCTCCCTTGCACTGGATGGGGACACCGAGGGTCACAGTGGCTCAGTGCCAGAGACTCTTAACTGAGAACAATGCTAGGAGGAGTGACAGGGAGCAGGGAAGCAGGGAGGAGAGCCAGGAGGCCCCTCGAATCCAGTGGGGACAGCAGGAGGACTCAGAGAAGAAGTGCCTTGCCCAAGTTCACGCAGTGTGCTGCTAGGCGTTGCTGAGCCTGGAATTCTGGCCTGTCTTGCTACGCCTTTGAGCTTTGAGCTCACTTTGAGCTTCACTGAGGAGCCCCATGTTCAGCAAACCCACCGTGTGAAAACCCAAGACACTGCCCAGAGGAAACCCCACCCACCCCGACACACATACGCATCTGGGGATGTATGTTAAAGCCACCATGGCATGTATGGATGCAGTAAGAGGAAACTTCTCGGTGGTCTAGAATCCTCGCTCTGCCGGTGGGTGGGTGGCTGGAGGGCCTTCTCTGTAGGGCGGGAAAACCTGCCTGAGAAGCTGAGTAACATTCAGAAATTTCCTTGCGCGGGGGTGGGGGTGGGGGGTGGGTCTGAAGATACAGCTGCAGACTCAGGGCACTGAGAGGGGCATCACTCAGTTGTTATTAAATCCTGATTGTTCTTTAACAGCTGGGAGGAGCAGGGAGGCAGACCCCTGGGCTTGACCCCCTGCTTTCCCGCCGTGTGACCCCGGGTCAGTGGCTTAGCCTCTTAATCCTCCAGAGGCACGAGGAGCTGGTTTACAGACATTGGTACTCCAGGTACTCCAGTGGCGGCTATAATCTCCGGGGGGCTCGGGCCCGGAAGCCTCCACCTGCCTCTGACCCCGGGGGGCTGGTGTAGCTGCAGAGGTGGGGGTTCTGGAGCCAGATAGGGTCCGGCTCTGCTGCTTGACCTCTGGAACCAGCTGCTCCGAGGTTTGCTTTCCTAGCTACGAGCTGCCTCGGAGCCCACTCTCACTCACCGCTTGCTGGAGTTAGGCTCTTCCTGCCCAAGACGCAGGGAAGCGGTCTTACTTCTGTGCACCTCTGATCTTTGGCCAAAGCTCCCTTGCAGATGTCGGGCCATTTCCAACCCTGGTCTGTTTCTCCACCAGGATGCCCGTGGCCGAGGCCCCCCAGGCAGCTGGGGGACAGGGCGATGGAGGCGACGGTGAGGAGGCAGAGCCGGAGGGGATATTCAAGGCCCCCGAGGACTCCAAGAGAAAAGTCCAGGACTACCTCCGCCTGACGCCACTGTGGCTGGCCCTCATCGTGCTGGCCTTGGTGGGGGTCCTGCTCTGGTATTTCCTAGGTAAGCGGTGGGCCCTTCTGGCCGAGGCACCTGGCGAGGACTTGGGATGGCTGTGGGGGCGTAGCAAGACAGGCCAGAATTCCAGGCTCAGCAACGCCTAGCGGCACACTGCGTGAACTTGGGCAAGGCACTTCTTCTCTGAGTCCTCCTGCTGTCCCGTGAGATGGGAAAGCTATGGCACCCTACATTCCAGGTCCTGGGGCTCAGGCGAAGTGCAAGTTCCTTGCTGGCGCCGAGTGCCCCCAGCTCCCACCAGCTGGGGAAGGAATGCTCTCACAGCACCCAGCTCTTGTGAACCAACAAGCAGGAGGATTGCAAACATTGCCTCCCCTTGCCTGAAGCCCTCCTGGGTTGCCCCTGGGCTCGGAGCCAGGTGGCTCCGTGGGAGGAGGCCCAGTGGTGCCTGTAGTGCCTGGCACCAGTTAGCACCTCTGCTCACTTGAGCCCAACCTGAGAACTTTTCTAGGGTGGGGACCACAGCTCTGTCATCTCTGGGTCTCCAGGGCCCCAGCATGAGTGGGGAAAAAGGGGAGGGAGAGACAGGACTCAAGTACCCGGGGGGTGTCCTTGCGCAGAGCTGGCTTTCATATCCCAGCTCGGGCACACTTGCAATTCAACTCACAGTGAAACGGTGTCCGGAGCAGGCAGGTCGGGGCCCCTCCCTCGTCCTGAAGTCTGGCCTCCCCCTCTGGTATCACAGCCCTCAACTAGTCCCCTGGAGTCCCAGGAGCACCTGGCCCATGTTCTGGGTCCATTTGTCTATCCTTCCATTCTTTCATTGATGCAGGCATGGATTCATTCATTCATTCAATAAACACTCTTGAGCACCTGCTATGTCCTCCTCTGAAACTGATGGAGAGTATACCTCCTTCCTTCAGCTCTTGGCAATAGGAAGGAACGGATAAACCGCTGGTGCCCATGAAAACGCTGTGGAAGACTCATTCCCTCATGCATTTATTCATGCATTCAGTACCAGGCACCCTCTGTGCGCCAGGCTCTGGGCCAGGCTCTGGAGAGAGCCCCTGCCCTCACCAGAAAGCATGGCATGGGCTAGGACAGAGGAAGCCACGGGCCTGGGGACCCATAGTGGAGACAATGCACCTTGCCCAGGGGATCAGAGCCTTTCCATAAATATTTGTACTGGCTAAATCTCGTGGTGGCATTTCAGGCCCCCTGAAAGGAATGGGGACCCACTACAGAGCATCATCAGGTTGATCCTAGGCCCAGCTGCAGAGGCTGTCGGGGTAGGGGATGTCTGGAATCAGCGCCTGGGCCGACGCCGTTAGGAAGCCCAGGCCTGCCTTGACTCAGAGGGGACCGCGGATTTGCTTGGAGCCTCAAGAGCGATGTGGGTACAAGGGGTGGAAGCTGTGCCCATTTCACCACCGGCACCAAGCCAGCACCCCAAATAGCACGGGGCCACCATGGCCTCCTTAGGAGGCCACATAATTAGTCTTCAGGGTAAACCACGGTGTCAGGCTGGAGGGCCAGGAACTCGACTGCCAATTGTCTTTCTTTGCGGAGTCTTACTTCTCCTGATTAAGCTCCAGGAGTGAATCACCCCTCAGGGAGTGGGTGCTCCATGGGGCTGAGGACCCGGGGGGTGAGAGCTGCAAAGCCTCGGCTGGGGGGAAGCCAACTCCTGAACCCCCAAAGGGATTTAGGGTAAAGGCGGCACTTTAGGAGCTGTTTGGAGGATTCCTCCTGCCCAGGCTCAGGCTGTGCTCTGGGTACTGGGCCCTGGGCAAAGAGATGCATCTGGAAGGGGAGAGAGATAAGGGGCCTAGTCCATGGGCGCAGGAGAAGCCCATAGTGAGGAGCCAATGACTGGCAGTCTGACTCAGAAAAGGGCCCAGGAGAGGAGAGGTGGGGGTGGTGGCTGGCTTCCCCCCACCACGCGGGTAGGCCCGGGGCCCCGGGGTACATTCTTCTTGTGGTGACAGACAAATGGAACCTCTCAGAAGAGAAGCCCCATGGATGCTGGCCACACGCCTTTCCAGATGCACCCATGGGATCTGCCCTCCCGCCCCGTCCCCACGGGTGAACCTTCCCTGTCCCTTCCAAAGGTGGCTGTCTTCCAGCATGGTGGCCGGGCTCCAGCAGTGGCCCATCCCTGTACGAGCACAATCCTTGCTCCCACACCAGATCCCGCTGGTGCCCCCCACTTCTCTGCTCCCCTTTGCAGCAAACTCCTTGAAAGAGTTGTCTCCAATTCTGCACCCCCAGTCCCTCATGCACCTTTCCCATCTGGCTCCCCGGCACCCCCTCTCCAAGGACACTTACCAAGGTTGCCAGTCGTCAGCTTGCTAGATCTGATGGCCAGTCCCCAGTCATTGCATCCCACCCCTCGGCAACACTTGACCTGGCACCGCACTCCCTCCTCCTCGAAACCCTCTCCTCCCTTGGCTTCCAGGGGGCCCCGCATTTCTCTGCCCCCAGCTCCAACCTTCTGCCTCTCCTCCCTGTCCTTTGCTGGTGGAGGGGCTCTCCTTCTCCCTGCTTTGCCCACTTTCTTTCAGGGTCTCATCCAGTGCCCCTGGCTTTGAATGTCCTTTATACCCTGATGACTCCCAAATGTGCCTGTCCAGCCTGGGTTCCTCCCTGAGCTCCACTGTGTTACTGGGGCTTGCCCTCCGCCAGGAAGTCTATGAGCACCTCAGACCCCACTGGTCCAGCATGCAGCTCTGCCTCATTTCCTCCAGACCCGCCCCCCGCCCCCGTCCCAGGCAGCGGCCATTCCATCCTTCCAGGTGCTCCCCCTTACTCCTCTCTTTTACACCCCAGCCCCAGTTTGCCAGCAAACCTGGTCACCTCTAACTGCACACTATACCCTGCCTCTGATCGCTCACTTCTCACCACCTCCACGGCACAGCCTGGTCCAGGCGCCGGAACCCCTCACCTGGCCACCGGATGCGTCACTGGATGACTGCAGGAGCCTCCCGCGGGTCTCCCGGCTTCTGCCCTTGCTTCCTTAGAGCCTGTTCTCCACACAACAGCAGAGGGATCATGTTAGAAAGCAGATCAGAGCCCCTAACCTCTCTGCTTAAACCTCCCACAGCTCCCACCTCACCCACAGTAAAACCAAAGCCCCCCGTGGTCGGCTAGACTCTGTGTGGTTGTCCTCTCCCTTCTCTCATTGCTTCCTGCTCTCCTCTCCTTCACTCTTTGCTGTTTCTGAAATCCACCAGATGAGCTCCTGCCTCAGGGCCTTTGCACTTGCTGGTCCCTCTGCCTGGACCGCTCTTTCCACAGAGTAACATCCACGTGACTGACATCATCACCTTCTTCCCTGGCCTGTATGGGGCAGCCCACCCTCCTCCCTGACTCCCACAGCACTTACACCTCCAGTGTGTTGTATACCATGCTTGTTGTTTATTGTCTGACCTTCTCGCTAAACTACAAGCTCTTAAGGGCAAGGTTTTTTTTCTTTATTGTTTTATTCATTGTTATACTGATGTATTCCTGAGTGCTTTAGACCAGTCCCTAACGTAGTAGGTTCTCAAGTCACATTTGTTGAATGAATGCATATATGAGTGAAGACGGGTATACGCCCAGGGCTATGAATCTAGTCTCTTCACGTCAACCAAAATAGGTCTTTACAAAGTGGAAATCGGGTGACGTCACCCCTGATCTTAAACCTTTTGTGGTTTCCTTTGTGCATCAGGTAAAGACCCAAATCCTGCCCCGCTGAGGTCCCAGCCTCTCGTCATCCCTCCCCTTATCTGACTGCTCCAGCTAAAGAGGTTTCAGCCCAGTCCTCACCATTATCCCTCTGCCGCAGGGCCTTTGCATATGCTATTCCCTCTGCCCCGCAGGTACTTCTCTCTCTCCCCTCTTCCCAATGGATGCTCCAATCCTCCCTACTCAGCTGGATGGTCACCCTGGCCCAGGCCCCATTTCTTGGTCATGTTCCCTCAGGTGTACCTTGGGCTCCCCTTGAAGGCACTCCTCCCAGATGGGCCTGTGGGCTGTCATGCCTGTCTTACCCACCACGGGCAGCTCTGCAGCTGACTTGGGTTACTAGTGTACCCCACATGGTAGGTGTGGTCGGGACATCCTGGGGAAAGGAAGGATGCATAGAGGTGCTAACCCACACCCTTGACCTTCTAGGCCGTGTGGGTTTCCTGGCTTTCATGTCATCTATATCCTGGACTGGTGATTGCGTCCGCTTCTGACTGGGAGCCCTCAGGACACGATCCATCTATGGGCCTCTTTCCTCCCTGTCACTAAAATACACTGGGTGACAGAGGTGATGATGGTGGTGGTGCCTCGGAGGCCCAAGATGCTGGAGGCTGAGCTGTGGGTCTGGGTGGCAGGAGAAGGCGTGGGGAGAGACCGGAGCCTCGCCCGGCGGACCTGTCTGTTGACCTTGTCGGTTGCGTCCTGCGCAGGGTACAAGGCGGAGGTGACGGTCAGCCAGGTGTACTCCGGCAGTCTCCGTGTGCTCAATCGCCACTTCTCCCAGGACCTCGCCCGCCGGGAGTCCAGTGCCTTCCGCAGCGAAACTGTCAAAGCCCAAAAGATGGTAGGGAAGGACTGCAGGGGTGGGAGGGTTGGGGAGGGCTGGGGAGGGCCCTGATCAGGCCAGTCCCTTCACAGCAGCCCCTGGCAGTAGAGTCCCATTCCAGGCACGATGGAAGGGGACATGGCATAGGGTGCTGGAAAAGGTAGGGGGCTCTGGGGTCAAAAGCACTGGGATTAAATCGTGATTGTGCCACTTGCTAGCAGCCTAAGTGGGGGGAAGACGGGGCAGTGCAAGGACGCTGTCAGGACCCACCCCCATGCCCTCCTGCCCAGGGCAATGATGTCCGGGGTGGTGGTGGGGGGATGGTCTCTGGCGGCCAGCACCTTCCACCCTCTGGCTGTGGGACTGCACCCTGCCCAGTAGGACAGGACGGAAGTGCCGATGAGTAGTTATTCCTAGGAACAACCCTTGGGTGGATAAATACCCCAGCTCCCTTGGCCTTGGTGAGGGGACAGTTCTGAGGCTGCCCCCACCGTCTCCCGGAGCTCCGTGTCAGACTCTGCCTCAGCTGCCCACAGCTCCGTTCCGCTCCTTCACAGCCACGATGGCTCTCCCGCTTCCTGTCTGTCTTCCTCACCCCCCACTGGGGTTCTCCAGAATCACCTCCAAGTAAACCCCTCTCCCCACATCCTTTTCTCAGGACTAGCTTCCGGGGGACCCACCCCAGGCTCTCTTCCCTCCTCTGTAAAGCGGATAAGGACAGTGCCTGTCCAGAGGGTCGTAGGGTGGATGAGATGCTGCGCACATTATTTCTATGCTGTTCAGAGTACTTTGCAAGCCAACAGCCCTGCCGCCCTGTCCGGTCATCAGCACTGGACTTGAACACGTGCACACACCGACCAGCTGAGCTCCCGTGGCTGGTGGCTGGGGGGTGAGGAGCGGACTCCGGAGCCAAGCGGGGCTTTCGAGAGTTGACGGGTGACTGTTGACAAGAGGGAGAGAAGCCGTGGGGGGTCTGGCGTAGGCCAGGGCTGGTGGAGGGGCAGTGCTGGGGGGCAGTGCCCAGGTATAGGGGGAGGGGAAAAGAATGGGGGTGAGGTTCGTTTCCCTGCGTGGCCACTGCCCGCCGGGTGACCAGGGGCAAGCCGCTCTACCCCGCAGGTTCCTGTCAAGCAGGGCTGCCTGGAAGGGCAAAGGGCACTCTGAGGCAGGAAGGGAGTTTCTGCAGAGGGTCACCAGGGGGCTCTTGTTTCCCCTCCTTTTAGCTCAAGGAGCTCATCGCCAGCACCCGCCTGGGTACTTACTACAACTCCAGCTCAGTCTACTCCTTTGGGTGAGTCGCCCTGGCCCCCCAACCAGCCCCTCGCTAGAACCTTAGACTCAAAGAACAGGAGGGGATGCTGTAGGCTTCTGATGCAATGCCCTTGTTTTTAAAAATGGGGACACCGAGGCACAGAAAGGAAACTCGGCTGCCTGTGTGCGACCTCCCTTTGCTGAGCTTGGTTTCCTCATCTGTAGAATGGGCACAGTGACGTGGTAGGGATCCACGCTAGACAACGGCTGTGGCGTGCTTGGGACTGGCGCATATTCCGCGAGGCCGTGGTTGGAGCGGGAGTGGGGGGCGGCCCAGCTGTGCCATGCGTACCTGCCTCTGGTTGGTGGCACGCACCCTACCCTCTTGTGCTTCAGTCCCTCCCTGTGACACGGGGAGGTAGAGAGCACCTTGGGGGTTGTTAGGAGTTTACCATGAAGGTGGACAACAGTGCGGGGGGGTAGGAAGCATGCAGTGGGTGTGAGCCAGGCTCGCTGGTCTCCCGCACAGGAGAAGGGGGCTGGGCAGGGCCAGATTTCTGGTCCCTTCCTACCCCTCTCACTTCTGCCTGCCTTAGGGAGGGACCTCTCACCTGCTTCTTCTGGTTCATCCTGCAAATCCCCGAGCACCGCCAGCCGATGCTGAGCCCCGAGGTGGTGCGGGAGCTGCTGGCGGAGGAGCTGCTGTCCACGGCCAACAGCTCGGCCCCCGCCCCCTACAGGGCCGAGTATGAGGTGGACCCCGAGGGCCTGGTGATCCTGGGTCAGTACTGGGGACGGGGCCGTGGGACGGTGTGGCCAGGGTGACGCAGGCTGCCTGCCGGGGCTGGATGCTCTCAGGGTGGGCCTCCCAGCGACCCCCGAGCCAGGACCGAGGTCGGGCCGCGGAGGGGGGGGGGTCGGCGCCCAGGGTCAATCTCAGACAGGCTGGCTCTGATGGTCTCTTCTATTTTTAGTTGCATTTTTCATTTTGTTTTCTTTATTTACTTTTGGTCTTTGTTTATTTGTTTGTTCCTTTCCTTTTAACAGAAGCCAGCGTGAAAGACATAGTTGCCCTGAATTCCACGCTGGGTATGCTCTTTTGTTTCTCTGCTCCACTTCCTTTTGAGTTGCTGTTTGGCTTGGCTTGGTCAAGTGTCAGGGGACCACGTGGCTTCTGGTGGGAGCAGGGAGCAGTGGCCTGGGGTGACTCAGGGGGTGCCATGGGGGACTTGGTGATGAGTCCCGAGCAAGGCTCGGGCCTGTGGGGGAGGGGAGGTATGGCGCATGCACGCGCGCGTGTGTGTGTGGGGGGGGCGGTGTGAGAGTCAGTAGCCGGGTTAGGTGCACATAAATGTGACTACTTTTTTTTATCACTGAACTCAATTTGCTCATAAGCTAGTTTCCACCCATGGACTTGGTCACATTCAAGGATACTCCCTTCACATTTTCCTTCCCCTTCTTAGCCAGGCTCATCTGCCCTGTCCTACCCCACTCCCATATTACCAGAGTCACCCTGCTTTCCCCCCAGAGGTTCCACGGTCTTCCTCCTGAGCCCTGGGAAGCAGAGTACCAGCAGGGCCACCATGCTGCACAGCGCCAGGGAGCGCTATCCACATCGCAGTCTGTGTGACTGGAGAAAACTGAAGTTGTGCAGTGCACCACCTGTGCTACTGTACCCTGTGGTCCCGAGCACAAGCTCTTACATTCTCAGATTCTTTTTTTTTTTTTAATTTTTTTTAAAAGATTTATTTATTTATTTATTTGACAGCGAGAGATAGCGAGAGCAGGAACACAAGCAGGGGGAGTGGGAGAG